CCATCTGGCATTTCTGTGTGGAGTTTGCATGTTTTCCCCGTTTCCGCGTGGGTTTCCCCTTGATTCCCTGGTTTTCTCCCACCATCCAAAAAATGCTCTATATTGTAGATAAAATAAACCTAAATCTTTTTTTCTAATGTCTTACTCTTAAGAAGTTCACCTTGGCCTCAGCAGCGGGGAAGTTTGAGATTTACCTGAGCTCAATTTCCCCTCATCCTGTGGAATGGGGGGAGCCCTGAGCTTGAGGATCCCAGCATACCAAACAAGCTATGTTTAAATCATGAGTTAAGTGTGAACTCTTGTGTTAAATGTGAATAAGCCAAAATTCAATTAGTTTTTTTTTTCTTAAAACAAGTAGGTAAGTAAAATTATCTTATATCAAAACAAAAGCAAGAATAGTTTTCTCACCCCACTGGAAAATTATTTAGCTTGTAAAAAAAAAAAAAAAAAAAACATTATTTAAAAAATATATATATTTTCTATTTGTCCATTGAATGCCTATTGATTTTATATTTTGTTTAAAGGCTCTAAATAAATGCCGTTACTAACTACAATACTTTTTTTCAGTAACGAGTAACTAACAATAAAATGTGCTACATTATATATAACTATGTGTTACTATAGTTGAGAATGCTAAAGCGGTTTTCATGCAAGCAGAGGCTTTCTCAGCCATAGGACCTCTCTTCATATGGGGTGTTTGGGGCTGGGGTGGGACACATAATCAACCAGTGATGATGTCGGTGAACGTGGCGTAACTAAGAACGTGATGATTGGCTTAGAGCACATTTCCATTGTTTGCCAATCAGAGGCAGAGTAGGGCAGATTTTCACACAAGCACATGCAAAGTCAGTCTCACACACCAATGACCAAGTTCAAAGGTCGCTTTTGCAAACTTGAAATATAAGCACTGCTTTTACTTTGTTGAGGTAAAAGGCAGGAATTTTTTATGTATTGTGCAGCTTATGCCCAGCAAACAAAAAAAGTGTCTCTCTGGGTTAGTGACAAGTAATTTTTATCTAATGAAACACATAACGTCATGACATGCCACCACAAAATTAGTGGCTACACAGGTGATAACATGAGCTCTGCTACCAAATGAGGAGACGAAGCCACGACGTCAAAGCAAATAAAACCTAATATTCTTCCCCTCAGACACTAATAACTAAACAATTGATCAAAATAATATTTTCATGATCACCAGGGCTCCAGTGGCTGCAGATCACTGATAAACACAAAGATCACTTAGAACTATAAACCCGCCATTACATGGACTACAAGTTCCAGTCATGCACCTCTCACATGCACCTGTTCCAGATTCCGCTGATTGCATTCACTCATAGCCGGAGATTATGGACTGATTACAAGGACTATATACACAAACACGCACACTTCATTGCTGAGTCTTGTAAACAGTCTTGTTAACATTAGGACGTGTTTTTCTTGCCTTGCTTTGCTGTGTTTTTGACCCTCGCCTTGTTTTTTGTTTATTTATGATCTCTGCTGCATCTAGATATATAGTCGAGGACATGCTGCCGTTGTCTCTCACATTATCCAACAACAGCAACATTAAAATATTGTAGATTATTGTACAATGTTTACATTTATTTTGTAGTCATTTGACAATTTAGATTTTTTTAAGTAACACAAAAGTTACTTTCCTTTTTCCTTGTAATTATGTAACTCAGTTACTATTTGTGAAAAGTAACTATCAATTAGAACTAATTACTCTTTTAAAGGAACACTGGATTTAAGTAAGAAAAGCATTTCCCCATGTTTTCATGCACTAACTTTAATTGTTACCACAAAATGATTACAGTATTTCTCATTGCACAAAATGTGTTTATTTGATAACTTAGACGTTTAATTGGCACTAAGTTCTTTAAAATATTTGAAAATATTTGTCAAATAAAATATATGTCATCATAAGGCTGTAAGATAAATAAATTTTACGTCATAAGTAATCTGAATACGACTTGATTTGTTTTTGGTTCAAAGCAAGTAATCCATGACAGCTGTGTTTAAAAAAAAAACCCAATAATGTTCTTATAATTAATTGTCACACTTAAACTGAATCTCAGTGCATTTTATATTGCATTGGTTGTGTGGTTTAACCCCATTTGAACTCTTCCCAGCATTCAGCGAAACATGAATAATGAATGTGTTTGCATTGTTTGACTGTTTGCAAGTTTAATCCACGTTGTTATTGTTGATGGTGGAGTCACAAGTAGTAACTTCAGTTGTGTTGTGATGTCAGGACGATTTTGCCCCTCTTTTCAACAAATCATTGTCTGTTGTAACTCTTTTTGTGATTCATGCACCAAGCACTGACGTCTCTTTGTGTCATTTTAATGAATCTTGTATGTGTACTTGTTTTGTCTTGAAAATGTTTGTGATGAATAATCTAGGATCAGAGACCTAAAGAGGTTTTCAGGCATCAAACAAGGAATCATAAAGCTTTGAGTTCAGTTTTTTGTAATAAATCAGATTTAATTAGATTTTTATGGTGCCAAAAATAACAGCTACCTCGTTTACCATGATTTACAAAAAAACACTCACTAACTTGTCATTATAAAAAATTATACATGCATATTTTCAGGTAAATTTAGAACAAGAATAATTTGATTACATAACGAAAAATAACTTTAAGGGTCACAGTGAAGCTTCAAAATATGCTCTCACTTTATATTAAGTGGCCATAACTACTATGGACTTACATCACAATGTAAATACAATGTACTTGCCTAGTTTATTATGTATTGCAGAACACTTCAGATTCTATTGAGGTGGGATATAGTTAAGATTAGGGACAGGTTTGTTGGTGTGTGGGTAAGTTTTAGGGTTGGTTAAAGTGTAAGGGATAGTCAAAAGTGTAATTCTAAATGTAATTAAACCAATTAACTACATGCAAGTGTTTAATCAAACAAAATACTAATTAGTAGTTATTTGTTGTAAAGTAGTTTAATTTAAAGTCTTTATACTTTGTCACTATCCTGATTTTACCTTTTTGTCAGCAAGATTTCAATTTAAGTTATGATCAAATTGTAGGATATGCTATCATTTTTTTATATATATTCTAATAAGTATGAATTAGAACAAGTGTTTTTTTTTTATAATGTTTTTACATAATTTATCTTGAATGACAGTGGGATTTATTTCACTAATAGTTTGACATTTTATTTCACAGAATTTATTCAGAACAGTAAAGCAGCACATTATTTCTATTAAATATGTTTCTATGAATATAATTTAGAAAATTATTAAATCATGCAATGCATCAATTATCAAAAATAAAGTTTTTTAAGAGGGGTGGGGGGAATCTGAAGCAATATGTGACCATATGTTGCTCATGTGTAGTTTTGGGAAAGTCAAAATCACCATTCGAATATAAATAAAAATAAATAAAAAAAATTATGTCTGTAAAATTGTTGAAAACTATTTAAATGTGTTGAATTTAAACAAACAAATTAGTGTAGTTTTGGGAAAGTCAAAATCACCATTCGAATATTAAATAAACATTATCTTCCAAGCAGAAATTTTGTAACTTTTTTAAAATTTATTTATTTTTAGCTCATCTTTGATCATAATAGCTCTGTAAATATAGAAACGTATACACCATAAAACCACACAGCAGTTCAATTCATCAACAAGAAAGTATTAAAAAAGCACAAATACAAGTGTATAAATAGAATAAAATATTAAATACACAAATGCATAAAATAAATAAATAAACAGTAGAAAAAAGTTATATATAAAAAGAAAAAATAATAATTAATAATTATTATATGTGTATGCCGTAAATATATTAAAACTTGTAATTTTATTATTATTATTATTATTATTATTATTATTATTATAAATTTGCATTGCCAATAACTTTTTTTGTTCAACTTTTAAGCCTTACTCAATCAACTAAAGTCATGTTATAGGTCAACACCGTTAAGTCATTCACTGAAAAATTCTGCGCTCACTGCCCGTAATGTCAACTTACATTATAGTCACTATCCTCAGCACATTCTTATTTTTGATTCTGTATAAAGTGTCCAAGAAAAACAGCGAAAATGCACCTCATTAAGTTTCAAATTATATTAACGTAAATTACATTAACGAGTGCACAGCAAGTGCACTGTTGTGTTCAATTGCTCTTGCTTGTTTATTAATGCATGTGACAGCGGTGACGTAATTGTGACAGTGGAGTGTCGCTTTTTAATTCATACTTGTAATCAGGTCATGTCCATGGTGAAACTGCATTTTGTGTTTGTAAAGTACACCCATCGTAAATTTATCTGTCATATACAAATAGACAAAGAAAATGTCATATCTGTGTCTGTTCTAATCACCGAGTTTGGAATTGTACCCTCGGAAAATTACGTGTACATAACGTTTTCCATAATGTTTTTATAATTACAGAAGCGTGAATTTTATTAATTCACGAAATATTTATGACAGCGATTTTATTTCCATCTATCTCGCCTCTTAAATGATGTGAAAATCCCAAATATTCACACTTTTATCTGGTTTTGCGATCCAGGCTCCCAAATGTTCTTCATTTATACATTTAAGATTTCTTGATACACTAAAAAAATTATGTCTGTAAAATTGTTGAAAACTATTTAAATGTGTTGAATTTAAACAAACAAATTAAACATAGTAATGTTTAACTTAATTTGTTTGTTTAACTTCAGCCCAAACAAATTGTTTACAACTAATGAACTTAAAAAAATTAAGTAAAACCAAGGAATCATCTTTGAATATTTTTTTTCAGTTTACGTTTTTAAAACCACTGTGGACTTTCTATTGCTTGAACATTTTCATCCAAGATAGAGAAGCTTGTGGCTTTAGAATCTAACAGAGGAACCATTTTTACACTTTATTAGCCAGTCTAGCACTAACTCCAGGGCTTTTCCTGAACATTCAGATTTTTATGCAGCGGTGAACTTCTGCTAACCTCCTGACTCATGCTCTCTCTTTTATCCTCTCCCGTTTTTTTCTTCCATATCCAGGACACAGAGATCATCAACACGGCGGTTCTCACTGGCCGAACTGTGGCCATCCCTGTCAAGGTGGTTTCTATTGAGTTAAATGGAGCAGTCACCGATGTTTCATCCTCTGTGCAGTGCAAGTCATTCAACGAGGACATCGTCAAGGTACGTCACATCCACACTGAGAGCTTTAGCAATGTAGGACTTCCTCTGCTATTCTTCTAATCAATCGCAGACAACTTAAGAGACCATAAAACGGCCATCAAAACCTCATTTAAGCGATGTTTATATATGCTCCTGTGGCCAGTGCTTCCCCTCGAGGGATCGATGCCTTTTCAGTGTCTGACAGTACATCGGAAGTGTTGAGCGCTCTGAAGAACAGCGTCTCATACTGAACTGAAGCAGAGGCCACAAACTTGACCTGCGTTTGATGCTTTTGAATGAAGAGTTTCATGGAAATCTTTTGTTTTATGAACTGTAATGATGTATCTTGAGGATTAGCTGCAAATAGAGTCAGGGTGATTCAATGAAAATGGAAATGTATTAATCATTTACTCAATCCAAAGAGCTTTTTATGCTTATGTGCTGTTTTTGTTTGGTATTTCGTTCCTGTGGAAATAGCCAGAAAGAATAGTATGAGTCAACATTTTTATATTTAAAAATGATCATATTTTTATTTTATTTCAAAAATGATTTGAATATTAAATATCATCTTCCAAGAAAAAACAATATTTTAGATTTGTTTATTTGGTTTACCTTGGAACAGACAGAAAATAATAGCTCTGTAAATACAATATTACTACACTGTAAAACTCAATTAGTTAAGGTAACTCAAACCATTTAAGTTCAAAAACTAATCCTAAAGAGTACTGTAAACTTAATCGATTTGAGTAAACAAAATAATTTGAGCATAATAAAACCACATAAATGAAGAAAACTCAAACCAACTGAGTACTGTAAAACCCAATAAGTTAAGGCAACTCAAACCGTTTGAGGAAACCGATTGCTACCAACAATTTTAGTTAAACCTAATCTATATGAGTACTGTGAACTTGTTGACAAGACAACTCCATTGAGGTTGAAGTAATGAGGTATTTAATTAACTCATCACCTTCAACACGGAGTTAAGCTCTTTTCCAATGAGTAGAAATAACTACAGTCATTTCATTAGATAAAGTTGACTGTTGGGTTTTACAGTGTAAAATAGAAGTGAATACACACACAAACAATATGAAACCACACACTAGTTAATTTCACCAAACAAGAAAAGTATCAAGAAAAGCACAAATAAATAATAAATAAGTATAAAAATATTAAGGTAAAATATTAAATTTATCCATGAATCATAACATAAAATAAATTGTAAAATAAACAATCGTAAATGTATATGATTGAAGGGTGAATCAATGAAAATAAGTGGAAATTAACTTATTTATTCACTCCAAAGGATTTTCATACTTATGTGCTGTTTTTGTTTGGTCTTTTTTCTGTGAAAGATAGTCTTTTTAATAGCTTTTAATGCAGCTTTTTTCACTAGATTATTAAATCATTTAGATTTGAGATGTAACGATGAAGACAACTCATGATTTGATACACATTACTGATCTCACGATACCATTTTTTACTTTTCTTTCTTTTTCAAATGCTGCACATTTCTTTTATAAAAATGTTTTTTATTATTAAAAACAAAAATTCAATAATGCAAATTCTAAATTAAATATTAAAATATTAAAATTAAATATGTTTTTCTAATTTAATTAAATCATAAGACTTTGTCTTTGGTTTTCTTAGGTTGGAGTTTTTCTCCCATGTTTTTTGGCGCAGACTGAGTTTTCTCATTCACAATGTCTGCTGCTGTTTTTAAAAAATTAAAAAAATTATGTTTGTGTGTGTGTGTGTGTGTGTGTGTGTGTGTGTGTGTGTGTGTGTGTGTGTGTGTGTGTGTGTGTGTGTGTGTGTGTGTGTGTGTGTGTGTGTGTGTGTGCGTGTGTGTGCGTGTGTGTGCGTGTGTGTGCGTGTGCGTGCGTGTGCGTGTGTGTGTGTCAAAATTATAAGCCTTCCTGTGAAGTTTTTTTTTTTTTTTTTTTCCAACACAATAGTTTGTATAAATATTTTCTAATAGCTAATTTATTTGGCTATCACAATAATGACAGTATCTAATATTTGCCTATTATTTTGTGAGATATTAGGATTCAACTTAAAGGGCAATTCAATTGTCCAAAGTCATTGGACAGTAGTGTTTTTTTTTCTGTAGCCAATGTAAAAAAATAATAATAGTATATATTTTTTTTCTTTAAAAGGGCTAATAATATTGACCATAAAATAACTTTAAAAATGTTTGAAACTTACAATTTTCCTTCTCCAGAAGAAAAAAAAATGTAAAAATTGTCTTGCTCTGGTAAACATAATTTAGGAACATCTGAAAAAGAATAAAATCTTCACAGGAGGGCTAGAAAAAAAAAAATTTCAAATTTATTAAGTGTTCAAATCCCAACCAACTTCAATCATAATCAATTTTAAACAATTCACGGTAAATCCTGATTATTAATCATGATGTCAGGGTACAGGGTGAGGTAAAGGAAACGAATACTCAAATGCAACAGAATGGGTTTTTAATTAATAATAAAATAAAACAAAGGGTAACAAAAACAACCCAAAGGGGAAAAAAATAACTAAAAGACAAAACATAAACTTGACTTGGCTGGCAGGACAGGACAGGAAGGATCAAGAAAAGGCAATACAATGAAGAGCTACATATGACGTGCAGTATATGATGAACTGTGAGATTACCGCAGACAAGAGGGAGCTATAAAGGAGGAATAGCTAATCAACAGTGTCTGGACTGGACTCCATCAAAACAAGAATTAACAAGACCGAAGTGGCAGGATCCTGACACATGACTCTAATTCAGGGCAAAAAGTAATCTAAAAAGTTTCTTATAAAGGATGAAGAACCATTTACAGTATAAGTGCACTAGTTGTGTAATGAAAACCTATATGATAGCTGTCAAGAAGAGACCCAAATTTAAATCTTTATTCATATACAATGAATGAGCTATTTAAAGCTATTTAGGGGGGTGTAGCTTACTGGTTCTCAATCATAAAACTCAAAGCTTACTGTATATATTTGATTTAATGCATTTCCCCCTCTTCTCTATTTGTACAAGAAGCAGTTGGTCCCACCTGAGGGTTTGCAAATATAGGCCAAAAACATTTAGCAGCGTCCTTTGCTCAAGGAAACAATAATTTCGTCAGTCTCCTCCATCTGCTCGATGGCACGACAGCATTCAGAAGTAGAAATCCAATTCGACTATAAACCACGACCAAAAATATGGAGAAATAATAAATGCACCTCGCAGTGTCGTCTGTCCGCCAAGATTGAGATCCATAAGTCATCCGAGGCGGGCCGTGAGGGCATTCGTTGTTTATCCGTTTTAAGATTCAGAATAGCTGTGTGTGCCACGGTGCTTTGGCCGAGCATTAGCTCTGGTGTTATTGAGTGGGTTTTTCTCGGCCGCCTGGGCCATTGAACTTTGGAGGCTAATTCAAGATGAGCCCTTCAAGCTGAGACAACATGAGTCCTGACAGTTCAATAAAACGCTCTGTGCAGTGACGAAAAAAAGCGTCATGCAGAAGGCAAAGGTTACAGGGTGCAATAAGATCTTTTCTGGCTGATCTTATTCAAAAAGCACAGGTTTTCATTGTAAACTTTGCTTTATTCGCCTAGAGCTGATGCTTTTACTTCTGGGTAGGGATGCCGGAACAGATGGGTACATGCATTCCTTTGAGAATGACATTATATGGCGCTTGCATGGAAATGACTTTTAATATCATGCTCGCCGCAGGTTCTATATATGCAGGCTCCTAATAAAGCGCTCGCATAAGAGCAGCGAGGTGTATCTTTGGATATTTGTGCACATGTTTGGAGGGTATGTTTATTTGTGTGTGTGTTCGTGAGAGAGTAATGAATGTCTATATTGTTCTGTGTATAATGTGGGAGTGCTGAATGATGAGACCCTGTGGGGCTTTTTTGTGTTTGAGAGCAGGAAGCTGTGAACAGTCTGTCCCATCTGATCTCAAAGCTCTGATAGGCACATTGGCCATCTGAGAACACACGTTTCCATTCCATTCCGCCGCTCAGCCGGACTGCACACATTCCCAACACAATAAACATACAAATTTAGACATGAATCACCACGTATGGAAGACTCTGAAGCCTTAATTAGATGAGTCATATACCTTGATTCCGGTATACGTGCAGTCAGTGACTGAATAATGTGAGCGCTATATAATAACAGTAGATGTTATTGTATTATCTTCTGCCTTTAAATATATTATAATTGATAGTTCCACTGCCGGATGCGTCCTTGTTATAAATTCTGACTGAGGCAGATCATTTAACTGTACCTTTAATTGTTTATGAATAATAGAAACTAAGAATTAATTGGAAATTGTACATTTAGACATCACAGCATTTTGAGATTGGCTAAATATTACATTTAATAGTGTTATTTAAGTATCTCTGATTTATTTTGATGCAAATTCATATGGAAATTAAATGTAATTAATTATAACATAATTTTACTTTGAGATGCTTTTAAAACTCTGTTTGATACAGATAAATTGATCATTTACACGCACACACAACTTGTAAATACATATAATATTATAAATATTATATAATAGAATTATATAAAATATAATGTCAATTGTCCAATTACTTTTGGTCCCTTAACAAGTTGGAGGCACATTTGCAAACTTTAGGAATTCCTACACCTTATTTGGATGTAAATACTCTCAAATTAAAGCTAACAGTCTGCATTTAAAGCACATTGTTCGTTTCATTTAAATATACACAAGTAACTGAAAAACTACACATATACACATACACAGTGATTGTGTAAAGTTCATAGTTTTTCAAATTTAAGTTCATTATTTCCCTCATTTATGTACACACAGCACCCCATATTGACTGAAAAACACAGAATTGTTGATTTTTTACCAGATTTATTAAAACAAGAAAACTAAAATATCACATGGTCCTAGGTATTTAGACCCTTTGCTCACTATTTAGTAGAAGCACACTATTGTTCTAATACAGCCATGAGTCTTTTTAAGGAAAATGCAACAAGTTTTTTTATTTTTACATCTGGATTTGGGGATCCT